GGCTGGGGAATATCCAAATTTTTTATCACAGTGAATGTGAAAATGAAACTAAATAAAGAAACAGTGACATTTTGACATGCAATTGATAGGTTTTGCATAATGAATATATACTTGCACATGTGTGTACACCTACTCACCTGTGTAACCTCAGAGTTTGGGAAACTGAGAGGAACTCTGCTTAAAACCTGAGATCAGCTTAAAGTTCATTTTCCCCATCCGTTCCTGCAATTTTGTGTAATTCTAGATGTGTTAAGCACACGTGTATGGCAGACAGCTGAGGATGTGTTGGGTAGATCACAGCTTCAGCAGGCTGAGCAAATTTATCTCACACCTCTATTAGTGAGAGGAATGTCTCTCTCAATCTGATGACTTCTCCCATCAGTTTTATGCAGGAAAGCTTCTTTGATTCTTCCTACCAATGAGTTCAGATTATCATTTGTTACAATTGTCTTTTTTTTTTTTTTCAGCTAGAGCTATCCCAGCTGTGTGAGTTGAGCACTTTTAAAATGTAATTCTTGGACTGTATTTCTTGATCTCATTAGAGGGAAATAAACATGTGCTCGCTATTAAGAGTCATTCACAGCTGGGGCCAAAGACCTATCAAGGCCCAGCCTGTGCCCAGCATTGTCATGTTCAGCTGTTCCCTTGTTCCTTTCTCTCACCAGCAGAGGGTGAGGCCCTTCAAGGCCTCCTTACCTGGCCTAGCAGCTGAATCTGAAAGAAGCAGATAAATATGGAGTGAACTTCCATTCTGGATTATTAGAAGTTAATGATCGTCAGCTTTTGATTAAAGACACACACACACTGGCTGAAATTTTGTGATGGGGTGAGGTTGTTACGGACTTCAGATATGAGGAGATGTTAAGTGCTCACATGAGAGTTGTAGGAAGGGAGTGAAAGGAGAGGCAGAGAACCCTCAACAACAGAATATATTTGGAAGGTTTGTATTTTCCCAGTTTCTGATTGAAAAGTTGGTAAGTTCTTGCCTATTGCTGGTTTTCTTGTTTTGGTGACTGTTGATAAAGAGGGGCTATGAGCTACTTTTTAATTTTAATTTGGAAAAATGCTTACAGACTTTTTGACATTCTTGGAAGAGACGTTGAGTGTAAAATCATCACAAGTTTGTTAACTGGAGGAGTGGACAGAGAAATAAACATAATATCTATTTGAATAATTGTCAAGTTTTCAAAGAAAATTTTCCAGATAAGAGTTTTTTCCAGCTTCTTCTAGATGAAGTTCAAGTGATTTCATCTGGTGCCTTGACTGTCCTAACCTTCAGAGGCACCTCTCATAAATCCAGGCAAGCAGTATATTCCACTATGATTTAAAATATCCTATTTTTTCTTCAGGAAAGCAGAACTGCTGTCTACCTGATGAAAAGAAGGAAGGGAGTAGTTTTATTAGTGTCTTACAAGAAGAATAACTTGACAAAGAGATTTAAACTTTTACCTTCTGTACTTACAACAGTATTTTGTGATTCTGTTGTGCTGCCTGTCTGAGAAGCAGTACTGGAGATGGAGGGTAGAGAGAGAGGAAAGAGGCAGAAGATTTTCCAAAGCCCTATGGAATCTCTTTTTTTTTTGGATATTTAATAATGTATTATGTAAATGTATTGTAATATACAATATATTGACCTGCTTTGTCACTACTCAGATGTGGGGACCATGCAAATGTTAGTGAAGAGGTGAATCTTCGATGCAATTTAAGGAAGAAACCTCTTTGAATTCAACATTTAGCAAAGGAATGATGGATAATTATATGGAGAACTTGTCTGTTCAGGGCTGCTGTATAATGTGAGATTGGGGATTTAGGTTTGGCATTTTGTTGGGTGTTTTGTAGTTTTTTTTTTTTTTTTGGGGGGGAGGTGTTTGAAAGTATTGTATCAACAGTTCATGTGTGTTGGGAGATGATCTGTGACAGGGAGATTTTGATAGAAAATGCAAGATAGTTTTGTTCCCATAAGACTTGAACTGAATTAAATGTATTTTGGAGGCGACACCACTTCACTCTTCAGTGGTGACTTATTGTCACCATTACTATTAGTAGGGAGATGATATTTAAAATGAAATATGGTGCTTACTGTCACAGCAAATAAAAACAAGAGATAAATTAGTAGCTAAATTAGCATGTTGACTGGTTGGGTGAAATATGCATAACAATCAACTCTAGCAAGAAATAACTTAAAACAAAATATTTTTCAAGGAGTTTTGGAGGTCCTTGTCTATTTTAGAGTAAACATACATGGATACAGTTTGCCATCCACTGACTTTATTAATTTGCTCTCCAAGACAAGGAGAACAAAGGTTTACAAGTCTAATTGCATCAGATGCCTTGCTGCAAATCAAATAAACAGCTGTTATTAAAAGAGAAACTAAAACATGATAAAATCAGTTTTCTTTTGTGCTTTTCATGGAAAACATATTAGTCAATAAAGCTAAATCAAAGTTCTGTGTAGAAGTAGCTTGGCTGTTTATTTCTTTATACGTAAACAGGCTTATTTTGTTGATCTCATATCTGTATTTTTCTGCTCCGAGACTATCAGTATATTATGGGATGGCCTCCTCAGGCAGGTTGCTTCAGGCAGCAGGTGGCTGTAATCCCAGCTCCCAGGTTCTTCAAAATCAGCAGAGTCTGGGTGAACCAGTCACTGTTCTAATGAACCACTCCAACTGAAACATTCCTGGCTGAAATTTGTCATCTGACACCTTTTGGATCTACAGCACGGCAGGCTGAGAAATCAATTACAAAATTCTGCAGCACTGGACACACATATTTCAGACTTCTGGCTTTAACTTCTTTGTAATGTCTTGGGAAAACAAGGCAGAGAGATTTAACCAGGGATTTTTTCCTCATCAGAAAAACTTTTCTTCAGAAGAGATAAATTCAGATTTCTGACAACAGGAGCACTGAAGTATACTTTTCATTTGTCTAGGTTATATTAGTGCTTCTTTACCTTGTTTTATTATCTTTCTGCAAGCATTCCTTTCTTTTTAAGTGATCCTAACTATGTTTTTAGTCAGACTATGTGCTGTACTCTGTGATGAGGTGTTTTGGTTGCTGCTTGTCGTTCTTGTCTGCTCTTTAGGAGTCAATGTGCAGTTAAAGCATCCTTCTGCTTTGCTGGCTCAATCAGTACCAGGGCTGCAGTCAGACATCTTCAGGAGTTTTCAGACACTGTTTCAGGTCAAGTGGTTGGTACAGTAGACTTGTCTGGAGCAAGGTCCTACACGTCTCAAAACCATGTTAGAAACCACAGTCTGTGTACTGTGTGGGCACGTGCCATTCTGCCACACTCTGCTGGCAGAAGCTTTCCTGGTCTGACACTTCCCTTTCGGAAGGTACCGAATGTATATCCACAGTTTGCTGGGTAAAAGGATGAGAGAATTCTTCTATTGGTGTTAATATTGTAAATCTTCTTAAGGTTGTGTGTTTGTGGTCTTTGCAGGCAGGTGTGGGATGAATGTAAGGGACTCTGCTGGTGCTCCAATGTGTCTCGAATTCCTGCAGCTGGGCTTGCCTCGCTCAGACCTGGCACTGTGCTAATCAATCCTGCTGAGACACAGCATATTAGCTCAGGCTAATGATGTGCTAATACAGTTACCTGCTGGAAGGCTATGCAGGCACACATAAGTCACTCTATCCCTCCCTCCCCAAACTTTTCTTTTAGCAGGGTTAGCAGATAGGTAATTCACAGTCAGAGAGCCTTGTGCCTTTCAGTTCTTTTTATAAAAACAGCTTACTTAATCTATTTGACTCTCTGATGTACTCTGTGCTCTCATGGAGATAGGACAGCTGTGGAGAGAGGCTTTGCTCATGTGTTTAGATGCGGTGAAGCTCCTGGCTGGTTTTTTTTTGATGCAAAGTGTGAAACAGTTCAAGATTTTTTTATATCTCTAACTCTTTATAAACTACAGATATTTTCCCGAGAATTTAAAAGGCTTAATTGTAAAAATATAGTCTCTAGGGAAGTTTCTGTGTTTAAAATGCAGCTTTATTCCATGGATTTTATCCAGTCCTAGCTCTTTATCTTTGTCAGAAAATAAAGAAACTTCTGGTTGCGTTAACCAAGTGTGTGACCTCAAGAGTAGCAGGGTATTTCATGCTGCTACTCTACTTAGTCCTCATCCCTGTGCCCCAGTGCAGAGTGACCAGAGCAGAGACATTCCTTGCCCACTTTTCTGCTGTCCTCACGAATATCAGCAGGAGTTGGTTTTGTTTAAGGGCAAAAGAGATAATCACTAGTGTGTCAGTACCTGCTCAGGTGGCATTAAGCACCACGGGAACAGAACAGTTCATCTGTCAAGATGTGTGGAAGTGAACGAGCTGGGCTTGCCAACCTGGATGCAGTTTCTAGGGTAGGGTGTGGAGCTGGTGCAGCAGCATGTTTTGAAAAAAAATTCCTACTTTAAATGGAAAAAATCCTAGAATCTTTTTCACAGAGCTGTGCTGATTTTTCCGCTGTCTGTGACGGGTCATGGTGTTGGTAAGCATTGCTTAATTTTTAAGCTTTTCTCCGAGGACTTAATGCTCTTGAGCAGCTATGCATGGTCAATGGTTGCTGTTACTAAATCCAAGCTTAATTTGAGCAATTTATACCTGATTTCTAGGCTTGTCTCACCTCAGTAGCAATGTCATTAGGAAGTTCCTGGTTTCTTGGAGTTTGATTTTGTAGTGTGTTTTTGTGCTGTGGTATAAAAATGTGTTCAAAATTAAGAGAATATAAAGTTTCTCAAATAAAAGAGAGAGAAAAGCATGGAGAAAACTGAACCCTCAGTGGAGGAATGAGGGGAAGAGCAACATCAAAGGTTATTCTGGATATGGCCTTTTAGTAAGTGCAGTTTAATCAAACCCGTTCTGGACTTTCTGTACTGCCTAGTTTAGACTCCCAAGGCCAACAAAATGTCTGACTCTTGCTGAGCATTCACTAGGTCTTCAGTCTGCACTAATTATCCACAGTTTGAAACCTGTGTTAATTTTTACCTTTCCATTGTGTTTTTTAGGCTGCCTGTTTGAAGATGACCTTTGCAAATCTTTTGAAATCTGTGTAAATGGTAAGTCTTCAATATTTTGTTTGCTGATTACTCTGTCCTCCACTCCAATTGGTACATGCTTGATTCAATAAACCAAATTTATATATGAATGAGAAGGAGAGGAAAGAAAAGAAAGATACCAGGTATGACTCTTCTGGTCAGGAGTCATGGGAAATTTAATAGATTTAAAATTTAATAGATCTAAAAATATATATAAATATTCTCTCAACCTTGAGTAACCTCATCTCCTTTTACGTGAAACAGACTGTAATTAAATTAAACACTCTGAATGGAAACATTTAGCTTGCCTTGATGTGGGTGAAAACAACTGTTTTGTTACCTTCAGGTTGTTCCTCTTTTTCGGGGATGATGTTGAGTAATTCTCAGTCTCCTTTATCTTCAGAAGGTTATTAATTACTGTACTAAGAAAGAAGGTCTCAAAGGGAGACTACAGTTGTTCTTGATTATGCTACTTCCTTTTTCTGTGATTTTTATTTGAATTATGCAAAAGCAGCTTTCTTCTGCTCTCCTTCACAATTCCTGTTCAGTAAGTCAAAAAAGCCAACACAATGTATGAATGAGTCTAATGGAATAGTAGCAAAGACTTTTTTTAGTAATAGTTGAGCATTCTCAATTTGCTACATGAAAGTATTTAATTCCTGATGAAGGACAGAGTGTATTTAGAGAGAGAGGTTTGAACTATTTTAAAATATGTAGATCTGCAATTAAGGAGTTTAATTTTATTTTTAAACTAAGTTTTGTATACGAAACTTCTTTGTGAGGGTGTGCCATGATGAAGTAGTTTTGTTTTCCATCAAACCCAGTAATACGGATCTATTATTTATCAGAAAAATGCCAACGTGTAAAAATTCTGTGTTGAAGATTTCCATGCCTGACACCAGGAGGGGTGGTGACAGATTTCTACAGTGGTGCATTTTGCTGACTACCAGTATTTTCAAGAGCCTGTAGTCATTCCCAGTGCAAGTAGATTTAAGCAGGTTTTATGATAGGACACTGTTACATCTGGCAGCCAGTGCATAATGGGGAATTTATGCAACAGGTTATAGCAATTTCTGTACTTTAGCTGATCTCTCTGTTGAAGACTTTGCTGTTCCTATAAATGTTACTTCCTACTTCTTGCTCCACCTGTTTTCTTAGTTGAAGATGCAGTTTCTAAAGTCTTAATTTGACCCTCATTAGCATGCAAAATTTAATTATGCCATTGAATTTGAATTCAAATGGACCTTTTCTGTAGATCTGCTCTTATTTTGGCATAACTTAATGTCAGTAATGAATAAGCCAGTTGATCAACAATATTTCCTAATGTCTGATCTTGTTTAAAAAAACAATACTTGCAGGGATTCTGTCAATGTGTTTAAGGTAACTGCATAGTATTTCACCTTTTTTATTGCTGTAACTGGTCAAATGTTGTCTAGAGCGGATTTTAAATGCTGTCCTTGATGCAAGTGAAAATACACAATTCTTGAGAAAACTAACAGGATCTTTGGAAGATCTTACTTGGAAGCACTAAAATACCATCAGAATTTACTTTTTCGTAAGTACCAGAAAGGAAGCAGGACCACTTACTCCTGAGCAGTCCTTCACGGTTTTCCTGTCCAAACTGCTGCTGATTCAACTGCATCTCTGAAGTGTTTCTGAAATCCTGATTTGTTAAAGTGTGAGTGCTTTGCTGGGTTGAAAGCTGAGGAGCTGAAGCCTGTGGAGGTCTGTGTGCTCAGGAGCAGAGCTCATTGTGTGCATTCCAAGGTCATGAAAAGCTTTGCCCCCTTGGTTGCCACACGAGTGCATGTTTCTGAAGTACAGGGTGAAAGTGGGTAAGAAACAGCAGCTCCTTCTCAGTAGCACCTTAGAAGTGCCTGTGATCTGCAGATCTGCTCCTGACTCCTGCTGGAAGGCTGAGCATTTTGATCTGTTTCTCTACCTCCAACAGAGGCAACTGAACTTACTGTGTTTTCCAGACTAAATCTGGGTTTCCTACTGGGGGCAGAAGTCACAGTATTTGCTGTCTCATGTCATGTCATCAGCTGGAGACTACAAATACGTTTCATGCGTCAGATTTGTAAAAGTATAACCAAAACACCAATAGCTGAGCTGTTTCATAGCTTAGAAAAATAAAGTACTGTTTGTTTATCCTTTCTTGTTTCTTCTAAAGGGAGACTGTGATGACTGAAAGGTTTTGATAAACGTTCCTTTTCACGAGTAAAAAAAAGGGTGTTAAAAGAATTTTGTTTTATTGTTAAAAGCAATGTAAGCCAGTGGTAATATCTGAGATAAGCGGCATAACTGTTTACATCAGAGATAATAATTGCTTACATCTGTTTAGGTCACATGCCATTTTCACAGGGCAAAGTACCTGCTGTAATAATGGTTGTTGACTTTTCTGCTCCTTTCCCTCATCATATAAAGGTGTTTTATGGCTTCAGTGATGGGTTCTCACTTATGTTTGTTTAATAGCTCCAGCAGCATTCATGCAATATTAATTTATTTTCACAAACCATTTATCAGTTTTCTGAGCTGCACTGACTCATCAAGTGGTTAAAAAGGAACATATTGTTTTATGTTTATTTTAATGGCATGAGGATAAACCAAAGGAAAAAAAACAAACCTGAGTTAGTTTTCCTGGACCCTTCCTTTGCAAAGCCAGAACTCTGAGAGGTAAAGTGACTTAGACGTCATTTATTTATCTTCTGGTGCATCATTACCTCTGTATTACAGTTGGAGGAACTGACATTTTCCCCCATCTAAAATGCTTGAAGCTTGAGAGCCTACAGCTAAAAAATCCTGATATGAAAGGTGAATATGCTTGTGAGCTGCAGACCCTGGATAGAAAATCTGGCATACTGTAAATTTGGAAATGCTGGCTCCCCAGTAAATGCTGAGAAGCTGTTACAGGTAGCACAGCAAGCAAATAATATCTTAATTAAGCAAGATATATAGAAGGAAAGTAATAATATAAGGAATAGATTTGCAGTGAGGGTTGTGTAGTGACACAGCTGTGGCTAAAGAGGGATGTGGCATTCACACATTCATGTACGTTTTGGTATCTGGGTTAGAAGTTTAAGCAAAAGACTTTGCCTGTGTGTGTATTTTTTCCTTGACAATTATGCCTAGAATGTGTTTGTATGAAAAGGAAAGAAAAAAAAAAAACAACAAAACATTAAGAAGGAATTTTTAGGTGATCTCTAAGACAGAAATCCTTCACTTACTCTTGAACAGACCTCGTATTCATATATTAAATGTAGTATAACTAGATAAGCGGGAATATGTCATATTTTGTTTTGCATTTTAAATGATAAGTAAAGCAGTTCATGTAAAACATCAGCTTGTATATCTTCCTTTTTGGAAGGTTTAAACAAACTGGCTCCTGAAAGCAGCAAACCAAAAAGACCAAGTTTTTATCCTTTCTTGTGAAATCATGCTGTTGAATTCTAGTAGTGCCATGTGGTATAGATAAAAGCATTAATTTCAAAATAACCTTCCCTTATGGGCCTCTTTCCTCCCTTTATTAAACTGTTTGAACTGCTCATTTAGAAGGGTGGCATTCTCTCCTTCAGGTTTAATCTCCAGATATTTAGCTCCAGAAAGCAGATTTGTGCTGTGTTTTACCCACGCATGGATACCGGGATATCTTTGTTCCTATCAACAGAGCCTTTATAAACTGGGGCAGTTATATTTCTGAAAGCTGTGGCTGCAGGCCTCCTTCCCTCCTGAAATCACAACAGGCTTCAAGCAGACACGATCAGATAGTAGAAAACAACTCTGTGAGGCCAAGCAAGAGGAGTTAATTAAATGCAGGCGCTGGCGCATCATGCATCGTTAAGCCAAGCCTGGCTGACAAACACCAACCTTCTCCTCGCAAGGCTCGGTCTGATGTCTGCAGCGGTGTTGGAAGATGCTGTGCTGCTGGAAGGCTGGGCAAGCAGCACTGCACAGCTGAGTCTGTTGCTTTATGTATGCAAGCTGCACTTGTTAGGAGGGACTGAGGTTAGCACAGCGTGTCAAAGGCATCCAAGCATTGCAGCACAGAGTCATGAGCCTTTCCAAGTTTGGATGTCTCCAGGTAGCTCAGAATATTAAAGCACTTCCTTCCTCGGCTACAGAGCTCCTTGAACATTTGGAATGTAAGTGATTGTGTGTGCTGGTGATGAGCCATAAATGGTAAACATGTGCTACAGATGATAAGGGAGAGAAGTCAGAATCCCTGAAATGGTTTCTTCAACTTAATGTGTTACGCTTTGAGGTTTTCCAGATCATTGACTGGTAGGATGGGATTGCAGAGGGAGATGCACCTCAGCATTGTTTAGCTAACAGATGTCTGCAGCTCCCTCTGCATTTGCAAGGCACTGCTCTTCAAAAGCCATCAAATTTTTGTCAAATGACACTATAAATCTGAGCCTAAGCCTTCTGAACCTTTCCAGTAAACATCAGTGCTTGTTATAACAAAATTCAGACTTCTGAGGAGTAACACGAAGTGGTGCCTCTAAATACTCTTGCTTTATTGCGTGTGCAAGGAATTTCTGTGCTTTCCAAGGGTATGGAAAGGTTATTCATAAATAACTTAAATCCTAATACCACCTGATGTCATTCCTAACCTCAGTTCTGAAGTTAATTGGAACACATGTATGTTTGGAGTAAAAAGCTGACTAATTGTTTAAATATAAGGATTTACTTCCAGTGGTTCTTCCATACCATTTGCAGGAAATAATGATTTTTTTTTTTGTCAGACACTTTACTTATTCAAAGCATATTTTAAAATATTATGTCAGAGGAATGTCAGAATCTTGGTACTCAGGAAGGAGTAAAGTTTAAATCTGCCATTGTGTAATGGTAGCCTGAAAACCCACATCTTCACAAGTATTTACACACTTCAACTGAAATCAACAGTGAGTTAACACCTAAATACTCCTGACAATCTGTGGTTATGAGGATGGTGTCTCAGTCATTAGGAATATTTTACATTTCATAAAGTAATACACCTTTTGAAATAATTCTGTGGAAAT